AAGGTACATTTTCATAGACCGATGGTGAATGCTACTGGCCGCCGACATAACAGAATGTAACAAGTACAATGTCTTTAAGACACATGGGCTGGAACTGTGCATATGGAATCTTAAACCCCGACTGCACAATGGGTAACACAATCCAACGGCACTAACGATACAAGCGATTAAACTATCTAACATTTTTAATGGGTGGTTTTGTACTACCGAACCTTGCTGACACATTGTATTAAGTACTACAGACCCCCGAGATACAGCCATACACTCGAATACACAAACAAGCAGGCAAAACCAAGTATAGGCCCTTTGTCATCTAAACTGTCAGATCCAATCTCACACGCCGACGCCTTACTGGTGGATATTACTGAGCATCCCAAATCTCAAACGCTCAACGCTAAACCCTAAACTCTAAATCCCATGGTTTGAACACAACAGGGCCCCGAAATACAGCCATACACCGAATATATAAACAACTACGGCACATCCATCCGCACTCTCAATGGGCTCTGCAAACGCCGAGAGGAATTTGCTACGTTTATCCACAACAGAACATACACTCGACTGACGCTCAAGGACCTGATGATTGTGCCGGTGCAGCGTATTCCCAGATACACGCTGCTTTTACAGGTAGGTATATAACATGTGCACGTGTCTATTTTAGGTAGGTATGTAGACATTAGTGGTGTAGGTGGATGTACTTGCCCACTGCATGCGGGTATATATACTTCTCTGAAGTTGAGTATATGATTGGTTGTATAGGGGATCTGTTGGCTGTGCCAGTGCAGCGCATCCCTAGATACACCCAGCCTATACAGGTAGGTATACAGTAGGTTCACATCAGTGGTATGGGTAGATATAATTTTATATAGTGGTTGTATACATAATCTTATATATACTGGTGTGTACACATGCATACTTATACAGGCTTATATATACTGAACTGCCCTCTAAACTGGTCGTACAATATGGTAATACAAACTAATTTATATCTGCGGCATGCAGGAACTCCTCAAACACACCGACGAGAAGCACCCCGACTACAACACACTAATAGAAGCACATGAAATGACAAAGGCTCTGGCCTCTAAGTGTAACGAAGCCAAACGAAACATGGATGCCATAACACGCATGGACGACCTCGCTGATCGACTGATAGGCTATACGGTATGTGTGTGTAGGTGCGTATGAGGTTATGTTTAAGTTGTGTGTGTATTGGTTGTGTATGTATATTTGCGTTTGTTCGACTGATAGGATATTCTATGTGTGTGTGTAGATGTGTACGAGGTTTATGCCTAAGTTGTGCGCGTGTGTGCATGTGTAGTGTATGTATATACACATGTCTTGTGTCTGTATGTGTTGTACGTATTATTTTGATAGACTAAGATGTAAGCGTGTGTATGTGAATGTCTTATTTATGTATATGTGTAACATTCTGATGGCTATGATGTAGGTGTGTGTATGTACATGTATTGGTGTATGTATATGTAGTATATATATACATTTGTATGTATATTTGTATATACCACCGGTCATAGTGCTATATAATTTACTTGTTTAGCAATCTTATCCATACCTACCTATATACAAAACATACACTATCCTATCAATCCCCACTAAAAGACCCATATAATCTCTGAATACACCCCTCAGAGGCTGGTCCAGGACGGGCGACGCTATGTGGCCGAATCCAAAGTCCTCCAGCTGTGTGAAGGAATTGGGATACGCAAGTACAAGAAAAGGGACCTGTTTGTATTCAACGACATACTTATGTGTGTAGCAGTGGATTCGGACGAACCGGATTGCGCTCTCGAGTTCAAGTGGTTGTTACCGCTGCACGACTCAATCGTGAGCCTTTTGAGCGAACATGCAGGTAGGTATTTTAACAAAGATAAATAAGTACTAACACAGATGAGTTGGTAGTCTATAGTAGTCTAGAGGTTAGTTGCTGAATGGCTACATGGGTGAACGTGGGTCTGTTACCACATATGAATTGTAGTCTATGTATGTGTGGATGAGTTAGTTCGATGAATGTATACAACTACGCATGCGACTGCGTTGCTTCATTTAAAAGGTGTGGAGTTATATGCAAAGATATTTGATGTCTGTATCCGTATCCAAATTTCTGAGCCGAAAGTGCGACTGATTTGAGTATATTGCGCCAAGTGTGTTATTGTTTTTAGGGATGACCTGATTCTTTTCCCGAGCAACTCAGGTTTTGCTTGAGGGTTTAGGGATTTTAACGGTTAGAAATCGACTTTTAGGGTTTAAATATACCGATTCCTTTTGCGTACTTACGTTTGGCATAAATTGGAAAGTTGGCAGAGACGAACTGTATAAAAATAACCCACCACAAGACTGTTTGGGTTTTAAGGTTCTAGAGTTTTAGACCGAAATCCCGTCACGTGCGCGTCTATATTCTGGGTGAAATGTTCTTGAACTCATTTCGCAGATATAAACGCCGTACTGTTATATTATTATGTATCTTAGTACGATATATGTAAATACGTATGTTGTTATATGTATATTATGTATATCACGTATACT